ACCTAACCTAACCTAAACCTAACCTAAACCTAACCTTACTTTGAGGAGTAATGTGTGTGTGTAGAAATTGAAACATTGGAATGTAGAGGAGAAACCTAACCTAACCTAACCTAACTTAAACCTAACCTAACCTAAACCTAACCTAAACCTAACCTTACTTTGAGGAGTAATTCCTTTTTTCCTCAAAGATTTTCTTAGTTATGGAATGGAGAAAAGATTTCATGAATAGCAGAGCAATTTCATTGCATTCGTTTTAACGCCGACTGATATTGGAATTACGAGCAATGAAGGGAAAGAACCATAATGTGTACGGTGCGTAGTTTCTGACACTATCGGCCGGAGCCAGAAAGTAATATTTCTTAGAAAAAGGGCGATTTAAATATTTATTTCTTGATACGATATTTGTGCAAATGAAACGCCTGTTTAGAAAGATAAATTTAACAACGTTTATAAATGTTAATAAATGTCGATAAATTTTCATTTTATTTCTAAGCCTATTAAAAAATTTATTAATTTATATATTTCTGTTCAAGCTGCCTATTGGAGTTAATACAAATAAACGAATTATATCTGCTAAATGTCGTAGATTGGCTATTCAAGAAAATCTGAAGAAAGACACGATTCGCATTCAATGCCATACTTTTCCTCAGTATTACATAGAATACATATCACAGAGAATATCTAACGAATGCTTAATGCACGTGACAATTCCTGGAAAGTCACATGTCACGAAAAACCATAAAGTACCGATTTATTTTTGATGAGCTATACCTGGTCGCGTAAAAGTACAAACCTGGATCCGTTAATTTTAAACGTAACATGAAAATAAACTATGAAAGAAACAAATTCAACGACTAATAAATTTAGTTAAGTCTGTTGTACAAAAATTGTATTTTTCTTTCTTTCTTTCTTTGAAAGATTCTCTAGTATAGCAATTAATTTTTTGGGATAGATCAAACACGCCTGTAATACGCGTAAAAAAAATCACGTGGTGAAAAGAGAGATTTGATTACTAAAAGAATGAGTGATCGCGGAGTTTTAAGCACCGTCGGAGGAACTTGGTGCGCACCTAATTAAAGGTAACGTTCACACAAGCGTGATCGAACAAAGAAGATCGCTCCTTGTAGTTACAAGCCGCGTCCGTTTATAGTGGCAATAACTATGGAACGGGTAAAACGCGTGCTGCATACTCATTCCCATGATCTGTTTGTAATGCGACATCCATCCGTGAATTGAATCTGAGAAGGAAATGCGCCTTAACACGATCTTCCTTCCCGTCTACGTAATCCCTCGGTTTCTGTGCCGAGGCACGATTGCGATAGTTCTATTATTATTATTATTATTATTATTATTATTATTATTATTATTATTAT